GAATTTGTGCCAAATTAATTGAAAAATGCACAGAACTAAAAGCTCGTGACTTAGTAGGTCAACACTATAAAAATCCCCAGGGGAAAATTTTCTACAAGATTTCTTCTCCACCACCAAACCAGAATCTTATTTGACTCCTTGCCCCTAGGCTGCTCATTGCCCTTTCAGATATAGTCACTTGCCACATTAAGTCTGATACCAGATGATATTTCTAATCTGAGGTGTTTTAATGTTCTTCTCCCCAAAAAGGAGGGTTTTATACAAACCGTATTGCTGCTAAGAGACTCAAAGATATCTTTCTTCTTGTATGCCATATACTTGCAAGGTAATGTATTCAGGGTATCATTAAAAGAAGACCTAAATCCATTCTGTAAGTAAAAGATTCCTTATTCTGCTGCTGATATGCCCTGAGTGGGTCCCAGATTGGTTAAGGTGGGAAACACTCAAGTGACCGGTGGTGTGGAGGCTTGGTATTTTCCTCAGCAGCCATGTATTTTCTGTGTACCATGACCTTAAAAACAATGGGATGCAGTGCCCTAAATCATCGCATGAAATGTTAGGAGGTTGGTGGTGGTGATAAGTGTGAGAATTTAACCAGAGAGACCAATAGAAGGCAAATAGGAAAAGGGGAATAGGTGAGAGGGCTGGAGAAGGTCAGAGATGTAATTGATGACCTTGGGAGAATGAAGCCCTCTGATACATCAAATGACCCAACCCTGGAACTCATTAGCAAGGCCCTATTGGCAGCCGCACTGAGCCACAAATGTGAACTCAATACTTGTCAAGAGCAAGACCAAGTCAACTCATTGAAGATGCAAGGCAGGCTTGGCACTATGAACTTGGTTCTTACTACAGCCATTTAATTATTTTGTGAGTTCTTATAATTCTCTGAAAAAAATAACTGGCCTCAGAAGTATAGTATCCAACACTTTTTCGGTTGCTATATTTTTATGAACTGCAAGAAACTAATAGTGCTTTACAGAAACTACATAAAGGTGGTGTCAGCACTTTCAGTACAAACTCCCATTTCCCAAGGTGTATGCATTCTGCAGAAATTTGCTTGAGGGTAAAACTTGGCATATGTCTGAGCCCCTGACTGTCCACACCTCATTTCAGAGGTACTTACAAATGAGTCCTTCATATTCTCTACATTTGGCATCTGGAATCTTTAGAAATTAAAAAAATGGCCTTAATAGCAGGTGGTTTCTGCACTTAATGTCAGTGCATACAATTTTTAGAAAACTAATAATGTTCAGAAATTCCAAAAGTCCTGGCTTATAGATTCTGGCATGACAATATTGCATGTTAAAGGGAAAAGAAAGGAAATTTAAGATGATGCCAGAAAAATGTTGGTGTTTTCAGAACTTAGACTTCCTTCACCACTTTTTCTACCCCAAATCTTTCACTTGCTCTATTTCATGCAACTACACCCTGGTTTTGTGTTAGAGACCAGGCAAGCACATATAGGCTTTGGGAATGGGGCCTCTTCTCAGATCACTAGAAAGGGAACCAAGAGCCTACCTTTGTTTCTTGAATCTTCACTGAAGGGACTGGGTTAGTGCTATTCAAGACACAAAGAACAGGGAAGAGAGAGGCAAAGCCAAGAAAACACTGCCCTTGGAAGTGATGCCCACATAAAGCTGGAAAACAAAGTAAATTCTCAAAACAACAGAGACATGGAAGTCTAAGAATCCAACGCAAGAGCATGGAAGAAAGAGCTACTAAGCAATCGTGGTTCTCAGGAGCAAGGTAGATGAAGATGCTCAGTCATCCTGCAGAGAGGCAGTTGACTGAGCAGATGCTGGGCATGATAGCAGTGGACCTCAACCTCAGGACAGGGCCCAGGAATCTAGATGGAATTCCAGGCTAGAATCAGGTCCAGAGCAGAAGCTGGTGCCTTGCATAGAAGCATGGGACAGTGCTGTCAGCCTTCTTGCCATATGGCTGCCTAAGTGGCTATGAGCTGGGAAGCCCCCACTTTGAGGTCTACCTATACTTTGGGGAAAATCAGGTTAGCTTGTTGGTTAAAAGCATGGTCTTTGTAATCAACAAGTGTAGATTCAAGTCAGGTCCTTTATAGTATTTGGCCTTGAATGAGTTACTTACCTTCTTTGAGCTCTGATTCTTCATTTGCAAATGGCAATAATAGTTCTTATTTATAGTGAGAACATGAGTATACAAAAAATAAAAATAAAAGTGAACTCCTGATAGTTGTAATAAATAGCTATACTTTTTTTAATGCTCAATTTTCTTTTTTTTTAATTTTTATTGTTGGTTGTTCAAAACATTACATAGCTCTTGACATATCATATTTCACACTTTGATTCAAGTGAGTTATGAACTCCCATTTTTACCCTGGATACAGATTGCAGCATCACATCGGTTACAAATCCACTGATTTACATATTGCCATACTAGTGTCTGTTGTATTCTGCTGCCTTTCCTATCCTCTACTATCCCCCCTCCCCTCCCCTCCCGTCCCATCTTCTCTCTCTACCCCCTCTACTGTCATTCATTTCTCCCCCTTGTTTTTTTTCCCTTTCCCCTCACTTCCTCTTGTATGTAATTTTGTAAAACCATGAGGGTCTCCTTCCAATTCCATGCAATTTCCCTTTTCTCTCCCTTTCCCTCCCACCTCTCGTTCCTGGTTAATGTTAATCTTCTTCTCATGCTCTTCCTCCCTACTCTGTTCTTAGTTACTCTCCTTATATCAAAGAAGACATTTGGCATTTGTTTTTTAGGGATTGGCTAGCTTCACTTAGCATAATCTGCTCTAATGCCATCCATTCCCCTGCAAATTCCATGATTTTGTCATTTTTTAATGCAGAGTAATACTCCATTGTGTATAAATGCCACATTTTTAATCCATTTGTCTATTGAAGGACATCTAGGTTGGTTCCACAGTCTTGCTATTGTGAATTGTGCTGAATAGCTATACTTTGGATGGCCCATCTTCATGGAAGGAAAAGTGCCTCTAGTGTCCCAGCCTGCTGAGCACTGTGGTTCAGGGGTGGTGGTCCTGATGATATTGGGAGTAATTATTAGGACAAGCAGCCTGGAATACAAACGTTCCAACATCTCAGTTCTTGTTTTCTATGAGTTTTTACTTCTGATCCCCCCAAACTGGGTCAGTTTTCATAAAGATCCACTTACTTTTGTGTGAATTTTAATATTGAAGACGCTCAGAATTCTCCCAAATACAACACATAGACATGCTAAATCTGAAGTGTTGCGTATCAACACTTAAATTAAGAAAAAGCACCAAAGTCTAACTGTATGAGTCAGAGACACTGCAGCCCAAGACGACACTCTGCAACCCCATGGGATATGAAGTGATTAAGTGGCACCTCACTAGAGAAAATGGTGTCTGAGTCTTCCTACTACGTATCCATGTGGAGATGGAAGCCTCTCCTTCAATGGGGACTTCATCTTCATAGTACTTCCCAAACCAAGCACCAAACCCTCCTAGAATCTAGAAAAGGTACCCCTTCTTTGTCTTTACCTTGGTTTGGGGAAATTCCCTAAATTCTACTACTCACAGTGAAGGGGTTTATTGTTGTTTACCCACAGTGAAGAGGTTTTGAGAAAAAGGGTGGAGAAATGGGCACATAAGTTTGAATACTAATTGCTAAGCCTTGAGTATGATTGTTTATGAAAGATACTTAAGGATAAGCTATTTATCTAACAGATATCTACTATCATGAAATAAATGTACTAAGCCTTTTGTATATGTTGTTTATTGTTTCACATATCTGGTTATTCTACAGTGTGTTAGCTAAGCATCATTCTAGATTCTAGGGATTTATTAGCAAACATATTTTAATACTCATAGCAACCTCATAAGGAACCTGAAATCCCAAGAGGTTAAGGCAAGAATTCACACTATCTGTTATTGGCAGAGTCAACATCACAAGCCACTGTTCCATAAAGTACCAAAGAAATTGTAGCTATTGAGCTTTTAATACAAAGATTATATAGTAATCTATTTTATTCCCCACTAGGCCTATTACAGTGCTGAGTTAGACCTCTTATTCAGTGCTAGACTTATAAGATGAAACTAAGGAAGTTTCACTCCAAGATTTTAGTGTATACATGAAAATATTCTGGATGACAATTAGATTTTTGGAAGCTGATTCATTGGCTTGGATAAAGCATATTACTGTTTCAGAAATTCAATATGTGATAATTTTTGAGAAATTTTATATTAAAATGTTTGAAGATGAAACATATTTAACAGAATACATCACATATGTGTAGAATCAACTTAATTTGCTGTAAAGAATAGTGGGATCCTTAGGGTGGCAAGACACCCCAAGGGTACTACTGAGTTTTGTCACTGCCTTCAGTGAGAATGAAAAACAGAAAGCGGAAGTATTGTCTTGTCTGTGAGACTTCAAGTGGCCATTTGTTGGAATAAAGCCCTCAGGGTGGGTGATGTTATGATGGGTAAGGTCCCTTTGGAATGACCCTTGTGGCATGTCAATCACTTGTTCTCACAGTCCAATCAAAGGCCAGAGATTGTTCAGCTGCCGAATGGTGGATAATTCATGCAAGACATACACAATTACCTTTGTTAGGACACCACTTCAGTTTGTTATAGGTGCTCACTTCTCATTTTATTTCAGTTAACAAATTTTACCTAACTGAAGTCACATAATTCCCCAATTCAAATAAGGGTAATCAAAACTAATTGTTGGCCTCTAATGGCTATTGCTTTTTCTATTATACCTCTAGAGAATGATCTAGGGCAAGTGTGCATGTGACAATCACTGCCTATACCAGCTGGCCTTCTTGACTCATTTTGTGAGGGGAATAATTTCATGTTCAATGAAAGGTCGGTTTCGGGCACCTCCCTGGAAATCTACCATACCGATTCCAAATGTGTATCATTTTTCTTACTAAGTCTTTCTCTTAGGTGTCCCCTGGATGGTACCCAAATACCAGTCATCTTTTTATCCTTTCCTGTGAGCTTTCTCTAAACCTCTCTTTCTCTGTCTCAGAATCAAACTGCCAGATGAGAACCTTGGACAGTGGAATTGGAACCTTCCCACTCCCAGAGTCGGGAAATCGCTCAATGGGACGGTACATATGCCCACCAGACTCTCCGGAGGAGACCGACCCCCTCCTGTCTCTCCAGCCAGCTCCTTCCACAGCTTCTTCCATCAGAGCCCAAACCCTAGAACGCGAAGTGCCTTCCTCCGCGGACAGCCAGTGCTCCACAAAGACTGCCATCGTTCATTCCATATCCGACCCCATCATGACAGCCAGGGGCATGCGACCTCAGAGTCGCCTTCCCAAACCAGCCTCCTCAGGTATAATGCCAATTTCCTTTCCAGTGAGAAATTTCCCACCCACAGAAAGGCACTTTCTGACAAAAATAGAGAATTGCCCCCCTGGAGACTAGAAAATCAATGACCTGTGCTCTATGGAAAGGGGGATTTGTGAAAACCCTGCATGTCCTCCACCAAAAAGTAAAACTGTGTATGAGATATTATCAACACATGGGTATTATGTTAAGGAATGCACACACATAAAAGGAAACAACCATGTAAGCACCAGTATATGAATACATAAATTGATTAAGGAAAAACACCATACAACATACTGGTGAGATTTTTATCCTGTAAAACTTAACTGTGCATATAGGCCAATTTAGACCCAAGACATAAATGTAGCTGAAATGTTGTTTGCCCTCTAACCAGAAACCATATGTCTTCCGATGTATTCCTATCCTGTTCACATATATTTATATGTTGAACTATAAAAGACTTAGTTTGATACATCAGCAATAGATTGTGCATTAACTGCAGAGGAAAGCAGCCAGCATTCCCATTGAGAAGTACTACTCTTCGTTGCAGTCAATTGAAATAAGCTTTTATGATTAAAGGCAGGACCAGGCTAAGGGTCAAAGTTTTTTCATTGTTCTCTCAAGATTAAAAATATTTATTGCCGGCCTGGGTGACACTAAATAATTTTTAATGTGCATGGCTTGTGTGGCTCTGATGACATGCATAAGCATGTGAAGTAGAACTCTGAATCGAACCCTTTCATTTACGATGAGATGATTAGAAAGGAGCTGCAGGTTGGGATTATACTATGGGTTTCTGAGAAATTAGAAGACTTTTAATTAAACTTCTTTGAAGGAATGTGTTGAGCTATTCCATGGCTGAGTTCTTCCTTCATGCAGTAATACCAACTGCCAGGGACGTTTCATCACAGACTTCTACCCGTTCCAAGCCAAGGCTACGATGTTTAAAGGCTGTAATGCATATTATTTTTGAAATAAGTGCATTGTTAATTAATGACACCGCCTCCAGAGACTCAGGGGCGAAATCTTAGTTATAGATTATGTGCTTTATGCCTGAATAGGCACATGTGTGACCTCAATTCAGCAGCGGGCTGCTGAGTAGACGCCATGATTAAACACTGTCATTATAACAAATTGAATAGAAACCGCAAGCCTTGAATTGCTTCATAAGAAGGGGATAGGAAGGAGATTGTTCTGATCTTGCTGCTAATATTCACTGCACCAGGTTTCTAAGGTTTGTATCTTAATTAAATTGTCACGAAGAGTTGTAAAAAAGTAGTATATGGTAGAGAGCAAGGTGAACACACACACAGCAGGATATTTTGGGGTCGCCTCTCCTAAAGTTTCCTGCCCATCGTATGACAACTGTGATCCACAGGCAGGGCTGGGCTTTCCAGTGGCTCTTTTCTCAGTGGCCATTTGTTATTCAGGTGAAAAATTAGGGAGTGGCATGCTAGATGGGATAAAAGGAAAATGGGATTAGAGCTGCTTCTGAGCAGTCACTTCCTGTTTAACCAATACATTTGAATTGGTTTTTCTCTTCTCCCCATATTGAAAATGGAAGTAACTGTACCAATCTCACAGTGCTGATGAAAACACAATTACTTTGCTTCTCCTCACAAGCAAAATGCTGTGGAAAGGCTGTCACAGCACGTCCTGCTGATAATCATTGAGGCTGGAGGATAATAAAAGCGGTTCTCCTTTCTGGCATGACAAAGGAATACACTCCGCAGGTTAATCTGCTGTGATGGGTAATGGTGAAACCTCTTAAAATCATTCTCTGCTAATTACACCCTTGCTACTCAAAGTGTGGTCCATGGACCAGCATCATTGGCATCACCAGGGAGCTCGTCAGAAATGTAGATGCTCAGAATCTACCCTCCACCTACCGAATCAGCACCTACAATTTAACAAAAACTCCACTAATGGGTGTGCACATTAAACCCATTAAAACTTGAGAAGTACTGTCCTGATAGATCTTTAAGGGCCTCTGAGCAAAGTTTCCTAGACCACATTGTACAAAATGACCTTAGAAGGTATTCTAAGAAAATAAGAATTCCCTGCTCAATTACATTTGGGCAAGGCTGCAAATTTGAATCCTTTCTTTGAAAGCTGTGACAATACCCATTAGTATAGTGAAGGCTCTGAAAAGTTCTCCAAAAAAAAAAAATCTGTTATTTGATTAATAGGATTATTTAAGGGATAAGCTCAATGTCTCCCAAATGTCTTGTCTGCTGAACCTTTTTAATATGAAGAATCTCCGAGTTCTGTTGAAAAAATGAGTCCAAGGACAGCTTCTCTTAAGGTCTCCAAGGTGAGCCTTCTCCATGGATTATGTACACATAATTAGGCAGATATTCTGGGTAGCACAGACTTGTAGAAGAATGGCAGGAAACCCAGACAGACTTCACTGTATCTAGAACTTTTTATTATGTCTGTCTGTCTGTCTTCTCTCCCTAAACTCGTAAAAGGTTGATGAAAGCTGGCTTGTGACTTAATATGCTTTTTCTCATTTAGGAAGAAGCAGTCTCCAAAAGCAGAAGGAAGCAGGGCCAACACCTCGGACTTGCTCATCGTTCAAATACGCCGAAGACACCATGGCAGGCCAGCCACTTCCAGGCTGGGGCGGTGAGGATGCTGCTGCTGAGACCCAGGTAAGGGGGCAGCTGAGGGAAGGGTGCCTTCCACCATGTGAAAATTGAACTCCTTAAGCACTTTAGTGATCGATGTAATTTTAGATGAAATTTGCAGTTAGCTTATTGAGCATGAACCAAGATCCAAGGCTCAGCCATTTCCCTGAACACCATGGGTTCTTGGTACACCTTTATTCTGAAGAATTCAAGGTGGCATCTGATGTGCACCCAGATTCTTGAGATATGCATGCTCACCCCTGGTCTGACATTGGGAAATAAGTATTCACTCTCCTGAGCTACCGGGGCATCATTATCTTGGTAGTTACTTTGACCTTCACCTTGCTTCTATAAAAGGGGGAAAGCAGATAGAATTGTGTTCCTTTTGGGGATTAAAAAAAAAAAAATCTTGGAGTGGTCAAATAACTTGGCAGTGTCGGTGGGACCTGTGTTTCTCCAGTGCCCGTCATTTTTGACATATCTTCTTCATTCACCAGAGGTGGGAGATCTAGGCCTCCAAATCTGTGATTGGACCCAGGGGCACTCACAGCCCTGGGAGTCTTCATTCTTCCCATAGGGGTTGCTTGGTATTCTCTCCTGTTCACCCTTCCAAATGGTTACTTTGACCAGGTCCAGCCTGTTCACTGTATCTCAGCTGTGGCTGGCCCACCACAGAGTCCTTAGTAGTGTCTGGCAGTGAGAAGGGTGGAGAAAGAACTTATGGATCAATTACCAGAGCTTCCCAGCCCTTCTTTGACCTTCCCACTTCTGCTGCCTTTGGCTCTCCCAATGAAGAGAATACTCCAGCATCAAGAGAATCCTGCTCTATTGTTGCTGGAGTTTCTGCCCAACTATGATAAGGAACTGCCAAGATTTGCCCACATCTGAGATCTCCCACACCCAGGGTAGCTGAGCCTTCCTTTAGTCTGGAGCACCTTGGTATGGGAATAAGAGATGGACAAGTAGCGGGAGGAAATTTTCTAGACTCACTTAAGTGACTCACTGTAAGCCTCAACTTACAGCGGAGATCACCAACTCCAGAGACATGCTGGACAGGCTTGGGGTCCAAGGGAAAGTCAGTGTGGACTAGAGGCTGGAACTGGGCCCTATGGATTTCTTGTCTAGGTATCAGAATGGCTGATTCCATAGGAATGGGCTGTAAGAGGCAAAAGTAAAGCTGTTGTATTCAAGTATGCCTGAGGTTAAACACAAAACTGCTGGGGCTCCTAAAGTTGACCTGCCTTTGGGTGGTGGAAGAAAGGGCTCCTGAAACAGTGGTTCTCAAGCTCGAGCTGATCAGAATCACCTGGAGGGCTGCAAGTCCCGCTGCCCCCACCTGTGCTCAGCATCTGATTTGATAGGTGTGAAGTGAGGCCCAGACATTTCTCACACATTTCCCAGGTTCTGCTTCTGCTGTTGCCGGTCCAAAGAACGCACTTTGCAAAGCATTGCTATCACTGTGGTCACAAAGGACTCTGTGCTTGCTTTGGGGACGGAAAAATTGAGAATAGCATAAAAGATACTTAGAGTTGGAGGGGGAGACCAGTCCAGAGCCAACAATTTGATCGAAATGGCAAAGGGGTTTGAGTAATTCCAAGAAAGTAAAAATGAAGTTACTGAGTGCAGGATCAGAGGGGGCCTCTGCCCTCTATATGTCATGGCCAGGCACTGTTCACACAGTGTGCACATCTCAGAGTCCCCTTCCCCTTGTCCTGCATTTGCTTTGCCCACTGGCAAATCCTGACTTAACTTATAAGACTCACCACTCTTGTTTGGAGGGAACTTAGAACCCTGCTTCCCTGACTGCCAGGCAGGGAAAGTTAGAATCAAGATTTGGCTTTATATACCTAGTACCCAGCTCAGTGCCTGGTTCAGTTAGTGTTTGTTGAATGAAGGAATGAAGGAATGTCTCCTCTTATCCAGAAAATATTCCGGGAGTCCTTTTGGAACTCTAGATACAGGGTCCCCTGGGAACCATAGTTTGTCATCATTCATGGACATCATACTGTCAGATGACCAATATGTCTGTTGAATGAGAGGATAAATGAGTAAATGAATGAAGGAATACAAGAAATAAATGAATGCTTGAATTTATAACCCCAGCTGAGAGAACTTACATCCCAAAATGTACTATTGTAGTTCCTAACCAAGTGATATCCTCTCAAACAAACTTTAGGGACCCATTCCATGAATCTGTATCTGAACTGTCTCCAGAAGAGGTGAGAAATGATAGGCTCTAATGAAGCAGTCTACAAACAAAAGAGGGTCGCTAATAACCATGACTCAACCCACAGCAATTGCAATACTGGATCCAGCATTCCACTTGTGTGCATAGAGAAAAAACAAAACAAAACAAAACTATTCCTACAGTATCAACCACTCCAGCAACTGCCAAACACAGTATCATTGCCACACCAGTGACATCCTGGGGGACCACGCTGTGTGCTCTTGAGTGGGTGAATGAGTAAATTAGATTGAGTCCCTTAAATCTAAACTATCTATGGATCGGAATAGAGAATTATATAGAGTAAGCACTTGCTTTCCTTCCTGAAGGTTACCTTCCTTTGGGGGGGTGGGATGGAATAAAGTTATAAATTAGGCAAATATTTATTCTTTGGTTCCCAGGGTTCGTGTTTTTCATACTTTCTGATACTTAAACACCCATGATGAGATTGGTTAACTAAATAAGCTATTAGACTTGAAACAGCATCTTCTAATAGGCACTTGAGAAAAATAAGATCCTACAGAGAAGTGTACAAAATTCAGAGTGAGTGACCACAGGGACCTGCCTAAACCCAGGACAGTGGCAGAGTGCGTTGCATGGCTTCATTATTGCAGGCCCACTTCTCCTGCCCTGGTAATTGAATAGATTGCACCAGCTCCATGGGAACCAGGAAAACCAGCACACCCGAATTGTTCTTGGGTGGAGGGTGGGCTAGACCATGAGAACCTGTCTCACATCCTCAACAGATGTTTTGCCCCAGTTTGATTCGTGTGAGTCATCTCACCAGTCTCACATTACTCATCTAGGACAAGGTACCCAGAATGTACACATACTCTGTCAGCAGTAGCAGTTTAGTGACAATGACCCAGACTATGAAAATAATGTTTTGACCTGCAAAGGGAAAATTTAGGGAGGGTGGTGCAGAGCGCCATCCAGCTAACACACCCGAGCACCCCAGACATGCAGGTTCCTCTCTTTGGGGAGCTGCAGACTATGCCTTTCACTATACTCATCCCCACACATCTTGATTTTACATTTCAGCTCCACATCTCTCTCCAGATCTAATTTTCTGTTATGTACAGAAGTTGTCTGTGTGCATCAATTTGTTTTCTGGTATATTCTTCATGACATTGAGGTGCAGCCTGTAAGGATTTTATTTCCAGATCTGGTACCTCTAAAACAGTTTCCAATTGAGTTATCTCAATAATGAAGGAACGACTATAAAGATAACTTTATTCTTAATTACATACTTTGGCAAGTTGAATCATCCAGTGAGCCATGGATGAAGTTTCTCAGTCTCTTGCTAACATCATACTGTGGAGCTCCAGAATTGTCAGCTGGGCCATTATGAACAGGTCTGGTTGTGAAGTTCAAGCACCCTCTCTGTCTATTTTCTTTGAGTTAAAACTGGCAGTAGAAAAATCGTTATCCCTCCACATTTAAAAATGTGTATATTCAGATGGCATTGTCTTATACATAAAAAGACAGATGATCCCCTAACACAAATGTGGTCTTGAGTTTGCTTTTCTTCTAATCTCTGCTGGATTGTCAGAAATATTTTAATGATGCAATGAAAAATCATTCTTTCCCTATTAATCACCTTTTGCTCAAATACTAATTTGAAGATTATATAACGAAATCATGATTTTCTTTTTTAAAACAAGACTGATTTGTTGCTTTAGGGGAAAACATAATCTAGCAACCCTGAGTCTTTCCAATTTTTAGAGACTGCTGGCATTTGTAATGTGGGGGTGGGGGTAAAGACTAACATACAAGAATAGCCCATTGTTTTATTTAGTTAGTTCAATTCAACAGAATGGAAATTTTTATTAAAGCACGTGAGAGTGTTTAAAAAATTAACAGGAAATACTTGTGTTTGAATAACACAAATTAACTTGTCTGTATAACTCAGGCTGGGCCAGAATAAATATACATTCTTAGATGTAGCATGTTTTTTTTGTGTGTGATTTATTTTATTTTATTTTTTAATTTATTCTAATTAGCTATACAGGACAGTGGAAGGCATTTTGAAACAATATATACAAATGGAGCACAACTTCTCCTTCTTCTGGCTGAGCGTGGTGCAAAGTCACTCCAGTAGTGTAATCATACATGTATATAGGGTAATAATGTCTGTCTCATTCTACCGTCCTTGCCATCCCCACACCTCTGCTCCTCCTCTCACTCCCCTCTGTGCAACCCAAAGTTCCTTCCTTCTTCCCCACCCAGCTCCCATTATGGATTAGTATCTGCCTATCAAAGAAAACATTTGGCCTTTGGGTTTTTAGGTTTGACTTATTCCGCTTACCAAGATATTCTTCAGTTCTGTCCATTTACCTGCAAATACCATAATTTCATTCTTCTTTAAGGCTGAGTAATATCCTATTGTGTATATGTACCACATTTTCTTTATCCATTCATCTGTTGAAGTATCTTATTGTTCTAATCTCCCACTTTGTTCCTTGTTTCTTATAAGTCATCAGAGAAACAGAACCACTGTTTGAATCACACAAAGGCTTAACGTCTTAGTCTGTTCCTTATCGAGATAACAAAATACCGAAGGCTGGGTAATTTATAAAGAAAAAAAAAAGTTTACTTACCTCATAGTTCTGAAGTCCAGGAGCATGGCACCAGAATGCTTCTTAATGAGGGCCTCATAATAGAAGCAGAAGGGTAACAGGCATGTGCGTAAGAGAGAAAGGTGATAAAGGAGCTGATTCTCTTTGTAACAATCTTTTCCCATGAGAACTAATCCATTCCCTCAAGAACTAAAGATCCCTTAGGACACCAATGCCCCTTA